ATCCGCTATCCCACAAGTCAAGACACAAAACAGGAGACCATTTAGCCAACTACCCAAACATCCAAATCACTTATGCTTTTTTGATAAGCACATTTTCGAGACTACCAGTAGACCATTTATATGGAAAGTGTATTTATCCTATTCCGTTTAAGGTTACAAGGTGAATTTTTCCCACACTGATATGAGTAGACGTTACATTTGCATGGAATTTCACAAGGCCTTGGTTTCTCAAAAGTTTCGAGCAATCTCTTGTTTCATAATTGTTGAGCTTACTTCCATTTCCAGTGAAAATGTTGCGTGAAGAGATTCGAAGTTCAGGTCCACCAGAAGACCAACTGTCGACTGGCTTTACTGGAAGATTCATGCTGACGCTGTTTCCGAGGCACCGGAATCGAACGAGATTGCCTCGGAAACAGCGTCAGCATGAATCTTCCAGTAAAGCCAGTCGACAGTTGGTCTTCTGGTGGAACCGAACTTCGAATCTCTTCACGCAACACTTCCACTCGAAATGGAAGTACTCTCATCCAGACTGAAGTAGACTGCAGTTTCGACCTGACAAAGTCTCATCAACACCCCCAGCGAGACTCGAACCATGACCTGGCCTTGCTTGAAATTCACATCTGCCCTGTGACCCAAGGGCACGAGTGGCAATGTGGTGTAATGGTTAACGTGTAGAGATTATGCACTGCACTGTCACGGTTCGAGTCCCGCTGGGGGTGTTGAAAAAACCTAGACGATGTCGAAACCGCAGTCCTATTCTGCCTGGATGAGAACAGTCCTTCATCAGGTTACAAATGAAATAGTAAATTAGTAATTGAGTACGGAGAATAATTGTGTTTTGATCAATCTCTTAAGGTACCATCGTTAGGGAGAATGCTATTTCGTATGAAAGTACACATCTCTTCATCATGCAATTTCATAGGAACTGAAATTCTCCCCAACAAAGTAATTAAGTAATAAGTGACTATCAAGTTTTCAATTTCAAATTGGTGTCCACGCCGAAACCTGGCACTTCGGGATCTTTTAGGCCAGATCAACTCGCATACACCAGCGTTCTGGCTTGTATTT